TGTCATTCGGTGAGTTTTGAGTGAAATCCACTTGCTAAAACTATGCAATACCCCAACCACTCCATCTAAGCCACAAACTGAGTATGAACTTGAATTGTCCAATTTCTATGTCCTATGGATATCGGATCGAGCCCAAAACTTGGGCAACATCATAATATGGTGGGAGGAGTCATTTGGTGTGTTTTGAGTGAAATCCAATCGCTAAAACCAAGCAATACACCAACCACTCCATTTATGGCACAAACTGAGTGCGAACTTGAATTGTCCAATTTCTATGGCCTACGTATTTCGAACCGAGTCCAAAACTTGGGCAACATCATAATATGGTGGGAGGAGTCATTCGGTGACATTTGAGTGAAATCCAATATCTAAAACTATGCAATACGTCAACCACTCCATTTAAGGCACAAATTGAGTACGAACTTGAATTGTCCAATTTCTTACACCTATTGATTACGGATCGAGCCCAAAACTTGGGCAACCTCAAAATATGGTGGGAGGAGTCATTTGTTGAGTTTTGACGGAAATCCACTCGCTAAAACATTGCAATACACCAACCACTCCATGTAAGGCACAAGTTGAATACGAACTTGAAATGTCCAATTTCTGTGGCCTACGGATATCGGATCAAGCCCAAAACTTTGGCAACATCATAATAAGGTGGGAGGAGTCATTCGGTGAGTTTTGAGTGAAATCCAATCGCTAAAACTATGCAATAAACCAACCACTCCATTTAAGGGACAAACTGAGTACGAACTCGAATTGTCCAATTACTTACACCTATTCAATACGGATCGAGCCCAAAACTTGGGCAACCTCAAAATATGATGGGAGGAGTCAGTTGGTGAGTTTTCACGGAAATCCAATCGTTAAAACATTGCAATACACCAACCACTCCATTTAAGGCACAAACTGAATACGAACTTGAATTGTACAATTTCTATGGCCTATAGCTTTCAGATAGAGCCCAAAACATGGGCTACATCATAATATGGTCGGAGTAGTCATTCGGTGAGTTTTGCGTGAAATCCAATTGCTAAAACAATGCAACTCAACAACCTCTCCTTTTAAGGCACAAACAGAGTACGAACTTGAATTGTCCAATTTCTTACACCTATGGATTTCGGATCGAGCCCAAAACTTGGGGAACGTCATAATATGGTCGGAGGAGTCATTCGATGAGTTTTGAGTGAAATTCAATCAGGAAAACTATGCAATACACCATCCACTCCATCTATGGCACAAACTGAGTACGAACTTGAATTGTCCAATTTCTATGGCCTATGGATTTGGGACCAAGACCAAAACTTGGGCAACATCATAATAAGGTGGGAGGAGTCATTCGGTGAGTTTTGAGTGAAATCCAAACGCTAAAACTATGCAATACACCAAGAACTCCATTTAAGGCACAAACTGAGTACGAACTTGAATTGTCCAATTTCTTACACCTATTTATTTCGGATCGAACCCAAAACTTGGGGAACAGCATAATATGGTGGGAGGAGCCATTCGGTGAGTTTTGAGTGAAATTCAACCAGTAAAACTATGCAATACACCATCCACTCCATTTATGGCACAAACTGAGTACAAACTTGAATTGTCCAATTTCTATGGCCTATGGATTTGGAACCAAGACCAAAACTTGGGCAACATCATAATAAGGTGGGGCGAGTCATTCGGTTAGTTTTTAGTGAAATCCGATTGCTAAAATTGTGCAATACACCAACCACTCCATGTAAGGCACAAACTAAGTACGAACTTGAATTTTCCAATTTCTACGGCCTACGGATATCGGATCAACCCCAAAACTTGGGCACCATCATAATATCGTGGGAGGAGTCATTCGGTGAGTTTTGCGTGAAATCCAATTGCTAAAACAATGCAACTCAACAACCTCTCCGTTTAAGGCACAAACGAAGTACGAATTCGAAATGTCCATTTTGTTACACCTTTTGATTACGGATCGAGCCCAAAACTTGGGCAACATCATAATAAGGTGGGAGGAGTCATTCGGTGAGTTTTGAGCGAAATCCAATTGCTAAAACTATGCAATACACCAACCACTCCATTTAAGGCGCAAACGTAGTACAAAATTGAATTGTCCAATTTCTTAGACCTATTGATTTCGGATTTAGCCCAAAACTTTGGCAACATCATAATATGCTGGGAGTAGTCATTCAGTGAGTTTTGAGTGAAATCCAATCGATAAACTATGCAATACACCGACCACTTTGACGCACAAACTAAGTACGAACTTGAATTGTCTAATTTCTTAAACCAATTGATTTCGGACCGAACCAGCCCATCACTTTGGCAACATCATAATATGGTAGGAGGAGTCATTCGGTGAGTTTTGAGTGAAATCCAATTGCTAAAACAATGCAATACAGCAACCATTTAAGGCACAAACGTAGTACGAAATTGAATTGTCCAATTTCTTACACCTATTGATTACGGATCGAGCCCAAAACTTTGGGAACATCATAATATGGTGGGAGGAGTCATTCGAGGAGTTTTGAGTGAAATCCAATCGTTAAAACTTTGCAATACACCAACCACTCCATGTAAGGCACAAACTGAGTACGAACTTGAATTGTCCAATTTCTATGGTCTATGGATATCGGATCGAGCCCAAAACTTGGGCAACATCATAATGTGGTGGGAGGAGTCATTTGGTGAGTTTTGAATGAAATCCAATCGCTAAAACTATGCAATACACCAACCACTCCAGGTAAGGCACAAACTGAGTACGAACTTGAATTGTCCAATTTCTACAGCCTATGGATATCGGATCGAGCCCAAAACTTGGGCAACATCATAATATGGTGGTAGGATTCATTCGGTGAGGTTCAGGGAAATCCAGTCGCTAAAACTATGCAATACACCAACCACATCATTTAAGGCACAAACTAAGTACGAACTTGAATTGTCCAATTTCTATGGCCTACGGATATCATATCGAGCCCAAAACTAGGGAAACAGCATTATATGGTGGGAGGAGCCATTTGGTGAGTTTTGAGTGATATCAAATGGCTAAAACTATGCAATACTCCAACCACTCCATGTAAGGCACAAACTGAGTACGAACATGAATTGTCCAATTTCTTTCACCAATTGATTTCGGATCGAGCTCAAAACTTGGCCATCATCATAATAGGGTGGGAGGAGTCATTCGGTGGGTTTTGAGTGAAATCCAATCGCTAAAACTATGCAATACTCCAACCACTCCATTTAAGGCACAAACGGAGTACGAACTTGAATTGTCCAATTTCTATGGCCTACTGATTTCGGATCGAGCCCAAAACATGGACAACATCATAACATGGTGGGAGGAGCCATTCGGTGGATTTTGAGGGAAATCCAATCGCTAAAACGATGCAATACACCAACCACTCCATTTAAGGCACAAACGGAGTACGAACTTGAATTGTCCAATTTCTTACGCCTACTAGTTTCGGATCGAGCCGAAAACTTGGGCAACATCATAATGTGGTGGGAGGAGTCGCTCGGTGAGTTTTGAGTGAAATCCAATCGCTAAAACTATGCAATACACCAACCACTCCAGTTACGGCGCAAACTTAGTACGAAATTGAATTGTCCAATTTCTTAGACCTATTGATTTCGGATTGAGCCCAAAACTTTGGCAACATCATAATATGGTCGGAGTAGTCATTCGGTGTGTTTTGAGTGGAATCCAATCGATAAAACTATGCGATACACCAACCACTCCATTTAAGGCACAAACTAAGTATGAACTTCAATTGTCCAATTTCTTACACCTATTGATTTCGGATCGAGCACAAAACTTGTGCAACACCGTAATGTGGAGCAATTCGGTGAGTTTTGAGTGAAATCCAATTGATAAACTATGCAATACACCAACCACTTCATTTGACGCACAAACTGAGTACGAACTTGAATTGTCCAATTTCTTAGACCTATTGATTTCGGATTGAGCCCAAAACTTGGGCAACATCATAATATGGTGGGATTAGTCATTCGGTGTGTTGTGAGTGAAATCCAATCGATAAAACTATGCAATACACCAACCACTCCATTTAAGGCACAAACTGAGTACGAACTTGAATTGTCCAATTTCTTACACCTATTGTTTTCGGATCGATCCCAAAACTTGGGCAACATCATAATATGGTGGGAGGAGTCATTCGGTGAGTTTTGAGTGAAATACAGTCGCTAAAACTATGCAATACACCAACCACTCCATTGAAGGCACAAACTGAGTACGGAATTGAATTGTCCAATTTCTTACACCTATTGATTTTGGATCGAGCCCAAAACTTGGGCAACATCATAATATGGTGGGAGGAGTCATTCAATGTGTTTTATGTGAAATCCAATCGCTAAAATAATGCAATACACCAACCACTCCATTTAAGGCACAAACTGCGTACGAACTTGAATTGTCCAATTTCTTACACCTATGGATTTCAGATCAAGCCCAAAACTTGGGCAACGTCATAATATCATGGGAGGAGTCATTCGGTGAGTTTTGAGTGAAATCCAATCACTAAAACTATGCAATACACACTACAAGAAAAACACCCTTTACTGACGGCTAAAAAGCGTCAAGATAGCCATTGATTTACGGCTCGGAAAGCGTCACGGATGCCGCTGTCAGGGAAAGGGGTACCCCTATTCTTGACGCTTATTATCCATCAAGATTTAATGTTTCCTGGCGGTTATGGAACATCACAAACCCATCAGGATTTCCTTCTCTTGACGCTTTTTAACTATCAACAAATTTTTGGTTTTAGCCGTCAAGAATAGGATGACTGAAAAAGAAAAAGAAAACAAAAGGTGCAAAGAAATAATTAAATTGCTAAATAATTATATAATGCAACAAACTGAAGTCTCACATCCACTAAAATAAAATTATTATTAATATTAAGGACTACAAAAATGTTATAACATGTCAACTATCTAGGAAACGATATTAAAAACATATAAACATAGGGAATTAAACCAAATGATATAATATATCCAGTAAGTGTAGGTCTCAAACTATATAGAACTTGTCCCTTGAAAGCTCGACTTTCCTTGATGAGCCTAAGATTGCCTTTGTGGTATGAGCCGCACTAATCACATCAATCTGCTAAGATGAAAACGTATGAATTAAAGAGTTAATTAATGCATATGGAACTACGATTAAGCAGAATTCAGATAATTGATTATGTGCCTGAAATAATCTCTAATGTTTAATATATGTATAATGATGAAAATTTTAAACTCACATACAGGAAGGGTAGACAATCCTAGGATGGTAAGCATGAGAGGAGGTAATAAGTAGAGCTTCCTATGCAGATGTACACATGAGGAATTGGGCAACTGATTTCTGTTTCATTATACATAACTTTATCAAAGCAGCCCATTTCTCTTAACAAATACTCACATACTTACCAAAAATAAAAAGAGAGAGAACTCTGCCAAGAGAACATTAGATTTGTGGGTAGAGAAGAGAATCAGTCTCTTGACAAAAACAAGATCTGCATACTCAAATGAAGCAAGAAAAATCATTAAATTTGTTAGTATACTAAAATAAATTAAAATCAAAATCTATATTAGCAAATCCATGACCATTGAATACCTGCATGCCTCAGAAGATAACAAATGTAGCAGCCAAACTGGAAATCACAAATACGTAAACATTCAAAACATAACAAATGCATACACATTTAGAAAATAACAAATGCACAAACCCAAATTAAACCAAACTATGAGATTATGCTATCCAAGCACCAACCCATTTCTTTCTTTCTTTCCTACAGGATCAAAAAACATATGTCAAATATGAGCACATTTATGTACTTTCTACCAAGGATTCTATCCAAATACATAGATGACAAGCAACCTGTACTTTGTTCGAGATAGAGATTTGCATAAACTTATACATGCAAAATAACACAAAGTCACTTATACTAATTTAGAGAATTCAAACATAGGCTTGGATTGTTTTGAGGAAAAGGAAATGGTAAGAGGCAGGGAGTGAGAGGGAGAGGTTATCCACATGATCCAGATTCCTCACGACTACCAAAGAGTTTGGGAAAAAGCTACAAGGACTAAATTTGTAACATCCCGACCCAAAATAAAGGGAATAGTGAATTAATTAATTTCAAGAATTATGAATTTCCAATTTTGCCCTCGTTGTAGGGGTAATTTGGTCATTTTTAATTTGGGAGGATTTCGGGGCAGTGGCTGGTACCTTTACGTAGGTTGTACTGAGACGAGTCCGTAGACATGCAGTAGGCTTGAATCGGAGTTGTAACGAGAGAGATACGATCTAAAAACTCTCAGTGGCACAATCGTAATTATTTCGAAGTTTATTTTTAATAAAAACAAAAAACCCTCTCTCTCTCTCTCTCTCCCCCCCTGTTACTGTTCATCCAAACAGTTTTTGGGCCACCATCTTTTCCTCCGGCCACCCCAAGCGACGGCATTGGTACCAAAATGACCGGCTAGTCGTCCTCTTCCTATCCCGACAAATCTCAGCCGCTGGAACCACCGGAGCTGGTCGGAAGACGAGAAAATCTGACTGGTTTTTGACCCATTTTTAACAGAGTTTTCGCCGGCGGTTTCTCCCTCCTCTGGCCACCAAACCGGTCGATTAAGGTGTGCTTTGCCACCTATTTTTCATGCTCTAGCTGATGGTTGGGTAGGAATTGAGCAATTTTTGCGTTTTGGTAGTTAAATAAGCGATTAAAAATCTGTCAAATTTCGGCCTCCGATCCGGCCACTTCCGGCCATTTTTCGGGGTAGGTCCAAGAACAAAAGTGATTCAAAATTAGGTGTTTTACCTAGGGTAGGGATCTTGGCCGGCGGTTTGGAGTTTTTCCGATCGCCGAAAATTTCTTTGGACACCCATGCACTACTGGCGCGTGGGCCACGTGTTGGCCTATCATTATGTCCTACAATGATCTCCTGCTTCTCACGACCGCGTAGGAATTTGCGGATCTCAATTCGGATAACGTTTGAACCCCGAACGGATTTTACATATTATGCGATTTCCGAGTTCGATAGGTTAGAGCCGTTGGATCGTTTCCAATTTAAGATATGTTGGTCTAGACATTCCTAGGATAGTGTAGGATTTCACGGATCATGAATCGGAGCCCCGGATGTTCCGATTCAATAACTCAAAGTTGTGTTTTTCAATAACCGTCCGATCGTGCGATCGTGAGCGATCCGACCGTCTGATCTCGACCAAACTTTCAAGACGTGTATCTTAGACCTTGTGGAACCCATAGGAACTTTCAGATCATAAAACAGAGGTCGTGGGTCCTCGGTTGACCATGAGTCTTCCGAGGTAGTTTCACTCTTCGAGGAGTACTAGAACAACCCTTTTGGATGAGTCTTGACCGTCATTTGATTATGTGGGTCTATGAGTTTATTTTTATGGTTTTGTGATGGAAATCTTATGCTTTTGAATTTAATGGTTTATTTAAATTCTGTTTATATTTAATAGTTGAATTCTTTATTTTTGTAAAGTATTTGTGATATATGTGGGTTTGACATATTCGAGTATCTTGAGTCATATATATAATATTTGAGAAAATGCTAACTCTGTTGATTATGTGTGGGGTACTTGGGTTGTTGATGTGAGATGCTAGAAAGACATGAGTTAGAATGTCAGTTTGAGTGCTTTTAGCACTACCTTAGGCACCTCCCTGGATATCGAATAGGCAAAACGTTACTTTTGGTCCCTGTGGTTTACCACTTTTACCACTAAGATCCCTGTGGTTTCAATTTGAACATTTTTGCCCTTGTGGTTTCAAGTTGAAGCAATTCGAGGACAATCCTTAATTTCTGTCAAATATGTCTGTTACTTATTAAGGGGCAATTTGGTCCAAAAATTATTAAAAGATTCCTTCCTTTTTTAAATAAACAATATAAATATAAATTTTTAGGGAAATTAGTTTTAAAATGCAATAATAAAAATTCCTCCTTGCAAACAACGCTTTCTCTCTCGAAAAAACAAAAAACAAAAACTCAAAACAATGGATTCAACTAGCTTCTGCCATCAACGATTGCCGTTGTTGGATTGGTACCTCGGCTTCTTCTCGTCCTCGTCGCCCTCCTCCGCCGCTAGCGAGGAGCTAAATGAGGCCGCGTTCTTCTGGACCACCGACTTCACAGAGCCCAGCGACGGCATAACCCTCGGCTCAGTTTGACTTGGAATTGTACTGGAAGCTTGCGCTCTCTTTGTCGTCGTCGTCGTCATCGAAGCCCATCCTTCAATTCCAAGATTTTCTGTCTCAATCCATGCCGACTTCGAGAAGGTTCCAGATCTGAGGGTAGAGCATAGTCTCCTGGGCACAGAACAAGGCAGACACCATTTTTTTATGGAGATTCTTTGGTGGCGATTGGTTGTTTGTGAGAAATCTTTTAATAATCTTTTAAAATTGATTTTCATTGCATAGCATTGTTGTCGCTAAAAAAGGTTTGAACTTAATCCTAAACGATTTCAAAGTTCTAGCAAGCATTGTTGGTTGATTTGGGCACAATTTGGTTATTTTGGTTTGGGGTGGGCTTGGGTGGTTGTGATGGTGGTTGGGTTACAGGAAGGTGGTGGCTGGCTGGCTAGGGTTGGGTGGGTGTTGGTTAGTTGGGTAGTCGGGTTAGGAGGAGAAGGGGAGAGAGGTTATATATTTATTTTTAAATTGTAATTTTCTTTAATTTATATTAATTTTGTTTCTTTTTAAGGAATAAATTTTGGACCAAAATACCCCTTAATAAGTAACCAAAGTTAGAAGAATTTGACAGAAATTTAGGATTGTCCTTAAATTGCTTCAAATTGAAACTACAGGGACCTTAGTGGTAAAAGTGGTAAACCACAGGGACCAAAAGTGACATTTTGCCTATAGAATATGCTTGAGAGTTTATTGCCTATACTATGAATATGTATTGTGGGAAAATTGAATTAAGGAAGGGAATATTATTTTTATAATATTTATATAAGGGATTACGAACTCCACCATCATATGTACCTTCCCTTGAATGATGATACTTTGAAACATTGGAAATGGGTATTTGGAAACAGTGGATATGGACACTGGGATACATGGAAATGGATATATGGATATAGTCTGGATATGATGGAACCCGGGGCATCCTTGACTGGATGTTGCTGTAGACCCTTGATTGGGTAGTCTGCGCGCGTAGGGCTGTTTTCAGGCGTACGGGTCTTGCTTCTTCGTCCGTACGTGCTGGCTGAGAGTTAGTCCCCCAGTTGGACAGCTCGTCCCTAGCCACATAACCGTTTGAGGGCTGTTACGTGTGGACTAGTGAACAATCCCCGGTTGGATTATTTCCCCTAGTACATGATGTGCATTATCACATGTACCCCCCTTGGATATTGGTACTTGTACACAGTGGATATGGATACTTGGAAATGTCGGAACCCGGGGCATCCTTGACGGGATGTTGCTGTAGACCATTGATTGGGTAGTCTGCGCGCGTAGGGCTGTTTTCAGGCGTACGGGTCTTGATTTTTCATCCGTACGTGCTGGCTGAGAGTTAGTCCCCCAGTTGGACGGCTCGTCCCTAGCCACATAGCCGTTTGAGGGATGTTACGTGTGGACTAGTCAACAATCCCCGATTGGATTGTTTTCCCCTGGTACATAATGATGGTGAGAGGTGGGTGTTATTATATATACATATATACTCATTTATAGGCATACATGTTACATTTGATATATGTGGTTTTGATTCTGGATTTGAGATTCGTGAGTTTGTACTTTGTGAGTACCCTGTACATATATGAATGTTTAAGCCCTGGATTGGGAAGTGTTGTTCGGCAACATACGCCGTGGATAGGGTATGGTTGCGCGATTGAACTGATATAAAGAAGAAAGAGATTGGGAATGTGTTTATTTTGTTTCATCGGAATCGGAGTTGTGACCATTGATATAAGAACTACGTGTGGCTTGATCCCTTGTCCAAGGGTATATAAGTAGCCTGGGTTCTCACCTAGGTGCAGCTGCGAAATAAACTATATTTAAAAAGGTTTGAACAATTCTGAGTTTGTGAATGGATTTCGTTGTGGTTGTTGGATTTGAATCCGGTTTAATATTTTCGGTGGTATTTGTAAAGTTGTTTGAGGTTATTCATTTCATCGTTTATGCTTTATTCGACTTAACAACATTGTTGATTTTGTTTCGAACTATTTGAAGGCCGGAGGCCTATTATGTATTTGGATGTTGATAACTTGTGCATGCTGCCAGTTGGGTTATAAATTGTGTTTTAAATTTTCAGGTTGAAATTTTGGGAAAAGTCAAATTTACAGGGAAGACTCTGCCAAATTTCTCGGCAGAAAGTCTTGGTTTTTAGCAAGTGGGCCCGGCATTGGTGTGATTCGGGGCGGGTCCTGTCAAAATTGGCTATGCAGAACAAATCTCCATACAAATTAAAAAACCTACTTATTGCTAACCTGTGTTATTCAACTAGAAAACAATAACACTTAGTTAGCAATAACACTTGCCAATGGTTCAACCAAAATATCAAACAAAGCAAAATAAAAAAGGTGAACGAATCTATAGACTAGAAAGAAATAGAGAACTAGTATAACATTAAAAATTGCAGAGACTATAAGGAAATTAAAGAAACCAACAGAGGCTTTCATAGTTTGGCCGTTAAGTAGCTTTCATTAAAACCCCATAAAAGAGGCAGCCTTCACAAGCATTTAGTAGAATACTGACAAGAAAGAAAAAAATCAATCATAACAAGCTTCCAAAATCAATCTCAGGTTTTCTAATTAAAGAAAATACCTTGGTA